TTCTGCCATGAGCCCTCTTCTCCACCAGGGGCTCCTATTGAAGGTGGCCAATCAGAGACCATATGCAAATAGCACCGCAGCGGCAGCCAATCAGAACGCTGCCACATACTCCTTCCTCTGTCCGATACAAACATTCTCTTTTATTATATATATAGATGTTGTTGATATTGGCCTCTGTAACTGTCTTTTTAGGTGTATTGTACACCGCCATGAGTCGCCCGTAAGGGCTGAGAATGGCGGTTAACAAGTGCATCAAATAAATAAATAATAAATAAATAATTGGTTAAACAAACGAACCCAGAGGATGCTCACCAATGCTTCCTCTTCATCCTGGAAAGAAGTGACGAGCAGAGTGCTGCAGAGTTTCGTCCTGGGCCCGGGTCCTGTTCACCATCTTTATTAATGACTTAGATGAAGGGTTAGAAGGCATGATCATCAAGTTTGCAGACGGGACCAAATTGGGAGGGATAGCCAATACTCCAGAGGACAGGAGCAGGATTCAAAATGATCTTAACAGATTAGAGAGATGGGCCAAAACTAACAAAATGAAGTTCAACAGTGACAAATACAAGATACTCCACTTAGGCAGAAAAAATAAAAACAGAATGGGGGACACGTGGCTTGAGGACAGTACATGTGAAAAAGATCTTGGAATATTCGTCCCAAAAGTAAACTGTGTAACCAGTAATCTTCCTTGATTCTATAATTTGCTGATAGACCTGTGCATTGTATCTTTTTGCCCTATTTCCCCTTCTGCTCCCTCACCCCCTATTGTGCTTCAGTATTTATATTAACATTTTAAATGTACTAAATGTACCAAGTTCGTATGAAAATGTGACTTATTTACTGTGCTGGTCTATGACTGAAATAAATGATTTGATTTGATTTGATCTTGGAGTCCCCGTGGACAACAAGTTAAACATGAGCCAAAAATGTGATGCAGGGGCAAAATAAACCAATGGGATTTTGGCCTGAATCAATAGGAGTATAGTGTCTAGATCAGGGGTCCTCAAACTATGGCCCGCGGGCCACATGTGGCCCGCCGAGGGCATTTATCCAGCCTGCGCGCCCTGGCCTGGCCTGGCCTCACGCAAAGCCCCTTGCTGCTTGCCAGGCCCAATTCCCTCGCCTCCCTTGCGCCACCCGTCGGGCCTGGCAAACAATGGAAGCAGTGAGGTGCTTTGCTCGCGATGCAACTTACCTGCCTCGCGCTGCCCCTCGTACGGGCCAGGCAAGGGAGATGCTTCGCATGAGAACAGGCCATGTGTTGCAGCTTCCCTTGCCAGGCCCGACGGGCAGCACGAGGGCTCTATGGAAGGGCTTTGAGAGAAGCGCCTTTCCAAACAACCACACCTTTGATTTGTCCTGTGGAGCGAGGGCGGCCTGGCTCGCCTCTTCCCGGGAGGAGAGTTCAAAGGGAGGCCGAGGCCTGGCAGGCCCTCCTTCTCAGACGCTGCTCTCCCTTTCCCGACAGGATGTGAGATTACGAGGCTGCCTCCCTTTCCCTCTCACGTGAAGCCCTCGCCACTTCCATTGCTTGCCAGGCCCGACTGGCAGCATGAGGCAAGTGAGGGGATTGGGACTTGCAAGTGGCAAGGGGCTTTGTGCGAGGCCAGGCTGCGCAGTGCTGCCTCCCTTGCCCGGCTTGCATGATGGACAGCACGAGGTAGGTAAGTTGCACCGCGTGGTCTGGTCTCGCGCAGCCCCTCGCTGCTTGCAAGGCCCAATCCCCTCACTTGCCTCACGCTGCCAGTCGGGCCTGACAAGCAATGGAAGCGGCGAGGGCTTTGCGTGACTGGCAGCGCGAGGCAAGTGAGGGGATTGGGCCTTGCGAGGGGCTTTGCGCAAGGCCAGGCTGCGCAGTGCAGCCTCCCTTGCCCGGCTCGCACGATGGTCCGGCCCTCCAACGGTCTGAGGGACAGTAATCTGGCCTCCTGTTTAAAAAGTTTGAGGACCCCTGGTCTAGATCCAGTGAAGTCATGCTACCCCTCTATTCTGCCTTGGAGAATTGAAGGAACATGTTGACAACTTGGAATGTGTCCAGAGGAGGGTGACTAAAGTGATCAAGGGTCTGGAGAACAATGAGGAGCGACTTAAAGAACTGGGCATGTTTAGCCTGAAGACGGCTGAGAGGAGACATGATAGCCATGAATAAATATGTGAAAGGAAGACATATCGAGGAGGGAGCAAGCTTGTTTTCTGCTGCCCTGGAGACTAGGACTCGGGAAAATGGCTTCAAACTATAAGAAAGGAGATTCCACCTGAACATTAGGAAGAACTTCCTGATTGTGAGAGCTGTTCAGCAGTGGAACTCTTTGTCCTCGAGTGTGGTGGAGGCTCCTTCTTTGGAGGCTTTTAAACAGAGGCTGGATGGCCATCTGTCAGGGGTACTTTGGATGTGATTTTCCTGCTTCTTGGCAGGAGGTTGGACTGGATGGCCCATGAGGTCTCTTCCAACTCTATGATACTATGACCTTGAAGGAGCCCCTGGGGGTGGCAAAGGCCGACAGGGAGCTCTACTGCGGGCTGGTCCATGAGGTCACAAAGTGACTGAACAAATAAGCAACAAAAGAGCTGGTGTGGTCTGTCCAAGGAGGCGGGGCTGGTCAGCAACAGGGAAGGAGTGGCTTGCGGGCGGCGTTTAATGGCGTCCTTGCGTCCTATTCCTGGCTTGCAGCTTGAAGAAGAAGGAGGAGGAATGCTTGGCCTCACGGTCCCGCACCCAGGAGTTGGAGAAGCTTCTCTGCCACAGCAAAATGGAGCTGTCCACCGCACTGGCCCAGAAGCGAGACCTGGAGGACAAGGTGGCTTCCCTGCACACCCAGCTGGCCAAGGTAAGACCAGAGAGAGAGCGGGAGCATCTTCCTCCCTTCCTTCCCCAGTCTGGCCCTTGACCCAGCCTGTCTTGCCTTGCAGTCAGAGGAGGCGCACGCGGTGGCCAAGAGGCAGCTGGAGGCTGAGACACTGCTGCGGGTAGACCTGGAGAACAGGAGCATGAGCCTGCAGGAGGAGCTGGCCTTCCGGAAGAACCTCTTTGAGGAGGTGAGCTGGGGCAGGTGGCTTGCACTTCAGGAGAACCTGCCGAGAGAGAGAGAGAGAGAGAGAGAGAGAGAGAGAGAGAGGTGCCCCTTTCCTTCATGGCACTCACTGCCATCCTCTCTCATTAATTTGTCCAAAAACCTTCAGAGGTTTTTCCCAATCCAAATTACGACACCAAGGAGATGGTTCAACAACTTTAATTTTTTTGTATTGTCGAAGGCAGGCAACCTCTGAGGATGCCTGGCATAGATGCAGGTGCAACTTCAGGAGAGAGTGCTTCTGGAACATGGCCACACAACCCAGAAAACTTACAACAACCCATTTTTTGTATATGTGTGTACATATATATGGTATTATATAAGTTTGTGTGTATGTATGTATATATATATATATATATATATATATATACACACACACACACAAACAATATACATACATACATACTATATATACATACACACACATATGTACTATATATACACACACATATATACCATAGATACCCACACACTATATATACACACAAAGAGATAATACAACAACTTTAATTTTGTGTGTGTGTATATAAATATGGTATATATGTTTGTGTATATGTATACACACATACTATATACACACATATACTATACCTATATACACATACACACACACACGCACACACACAAACTATATGTTTTTTAATGATTTAAAGTAGCATTTTCTCCTTTTTCTGACCTGGTGAGAGAGAGAGGGATGGAGAGATGGAGGCAGGGAATGAAAGGAGGCAAGACACAGAGAGAGAGATCTTGGAGGCTGGCTGGCTTTCCATGCTGGAGTCGATTCTTTTTAATCCCGTTCATATTAAAATGTCATCGCCTTGTTTGTACATATTTTGTAATTGTATGGGGGTGGTTTCGTGGTGAGCCATTTTCAGCCTCTTCCTGAAGAGAGCTGCAATAACTCTTTTGGCCTCCTGGGAGCCCAACCCTTGATCTTGCTCACCCTTCCTTAGGAAGTGCGGGAGGTGCGCCAGCGCCACCTGGAGGAGGAGTCGGGCCCTGCCCAGAAGCAGTCACAGCAGCAGGAGGAGAAGGCACCTTTGGCCCTGGCCTTGGAGGAGCTCCGCAGGCAGCACCAGGCGCAGGTGGAACTCTACCGGGCAGAGCTGGAGCAGGCCTACCGGGCCAAGGTCAGATGGGAGGGGAGAGAAAGGGCAAGGAAGGCGGGACTTCCTGCGTGGGAATGAGGGAGCTGCCACTCACCCAACTGCCTCCTTTTCCTGCCCACCCAGCTGGAGAGCGCCAAGCTCTCCTCTGACCAGAATGGCAAGGTGGCCGGCGCAGCCCAAGAGGAGCTCGGGGAGGCCCGCCAGCGCATCCAGGCCCTTGGGGCACAGCTCTCGGCCCTCCAGGTGCAGGTGAGCACAAAGGAAGGGAGGGAGGGAGGGAGGGAGGGAGGGAGGGAAGAAGGGCCCCCAAAGGCCAGCCAGACATTGTTTTGAGGTGATAAAGCTGGAAGGGGGGCCATAAAGGCCATCCAGACCAATCCCTTTCTGCCCTCCATACATAGATAGATAGCCAAAGGTTGGGTAGAGATGATAGACCTCGAAGGGCCCCCCAAAGGCCATCCAGACCAACCCCTTTTAGTCATAAAGGAAGACACCATCCAATTTCTCCTGACAGAGGGCCATCCAGACATAGATATGGCTGATACGTATGATAGGTATATCATAGAATCCTGGAGTTAGAAGGGGTCCTCTAAGGCCACCCTGCCCAACCCCTGTTCTGCCAGGCTAAAAGACACCATCAAAGCACTCACGACAGAGGGGCATCTAGAGAGAGAGAGAGAGATGGTTAAAAATTTGATAGATAGATAGATATGAGCTCAGCTTATAGGACCATTGGATCCTCAAGTGGGAAGGGGCCCCCAATGGGCACTCATCCCCGATGCAAGCCCTCCTTCTCTTCTCCGTGCAGGTGAATGTGGCGGAGGAGCGTCAGCAGGAGGCAGAGGGGCACCTGGCTAGGGAGCGGGAGGCCTTCCGGGCGGCGCTGGAAGCCAAGGAGCACGAGGCCCAGGAGGCACGGGAGCAGCGGCAGCGGCAGCTGACGGAGTACCAGGAGCTGCTGGATGTCAAGCTGGCCCTAGACATGGAGATCAGCGCCTACCGAAAGTTGCTGGAGGGAGAGGAGGAGAGGTAGGAGAGGGAGGAAAGGAAGGAATCAATCAAGGAAAGGAAGCAGGGAGGGAGAGAGGGAGGAATCGGGGAAAGGAAGAAGGAAGAAAGGGTTCGAGGAGAGGAAGGACAGGAATGAATCAGGGAAAAGAAGGAGGGAGGGAGGAAGGAAGGAAGGAACTATTGGGTGAGTGGGCTTATTAACAAAACACCTTCATAAATGTACAGCAGAGTAACTTATTAGCAGCTGACTTCACACTGGAGCTTTACGTACAAGGCCTTCAACCTGGAGCTTCTCTCACCAAAGCCACCTCACACCAGGCATCTCACACACTGAGGACTACTAACACTGGAGCCTTCTCATACCGAGGCTTCTCTCATACTGAGGACTCTCTCAGGCTGACACCTCTCATATACGGAGGCAAACTAATACTGAGTCCTGCTCATGCTGAGGCCTACTAACACACTGAGGCCCTTCTCCCACAGAGACCTCTCACATAACTACTAAGAGTACTAAGCTACAGGCACACCTACTTAAACTGAACTACACTTTTGCTAAGTCATTGCATCCATTTAACCCTTTCAGTGCTTGGCTCACATTTTTGTAATTAAAAATACCTAGTTAATGTTTAATATTTCTGACAGGAATCGTTCAGGGAAAAGAAGGAGGGGGGAGGGAAGGAAGGGAGAAGGAGAAGCGGAAAGGAAGGAATCAGGGAAAGGAAGGCTGGAGGGAAAGAACGAAAGAAGGGATCAGGGAAAGGAGGGAGGGAAGAAGAAAGGAAGGAGTGGTTTGAATGCAATTTTCCTCCTTCTTGGCAGGGGGTTGGACTGGATGGCCCATGAGGTTTCTTCCAGCTCTATGATTGTATGAAACACTCAAAACAGGGAAGGAAGAAACAACTGAAGGAATCACGGAAAGAAGGGAGGGAAGGAGGAAAAAAAAGACAGAAGAAAGGGAGGAAGGTCTATAGAGGAAGTCACCACCTAGACCCTGGTCTTGCTTGATAGAATCCAGCATTGGAAGAAATACTTAAGATACGATCCGTAAAAATCACATATTAAAACACAAGGACTGGAAAAGTGGCTTTCCCCTTCCTCTTCCTCCTCCTCCTTTATGGGACAACTTTCCAAATGTCGAAACCTGGCTCTCTCTTCCCCTTCTCCGGGCCTTCTTTCCTTCCAGGCTGAAGCTCTCCCCCAGCTCTCTCCACATCTCAGTCTCCAGGGCCACTTCCTCTTCCTCTTTGTGGGGCAAGCGCAAGTGCAGGGAGGCCCAGGAGCAGCTCTCCATTGAGACCAGTCACAGCAGCAATGCCCTCCAGCTGGACTTGGCCAAAGGCAGCGTCTGTATTGAGGAGGTCGACCCCCAAGGGAAGTTTGTCCGGCTGCGGAACCGCTCGCAGGAGGTGAGGTCGGCACCAAAGAGGTCACAACCCTCCTGACCCTTGTGAGGCTGAACGACCTCCCCACAATCAGGAGCCCAAGCCAAAGGGGAAGCTCCTCTTGGAGGGAGGTCATTTCTCATTCAATTGCATTGACTCCATCTACGGGATGCAGGGATTTGTAGTTTGGGTCAGCCTGAAGGCCTTGCAAACCTACATCTCCCAGGACTCCATAGCATCATCCTCCAGCAGAGACACAGTCCAAGGTTTCCTTTTTTCCCCATTGCTTTGGTGCTCTAACCCTTTTATGTCTTAAGAAAAAGATCCTAGAGTTGCACAGGACATACAGCAGCACATCCTTTTTTAAGTTTCTGGGTTTTGCAAATGAGGAGGGTGCTTGAGGTCCAATGGCGCATGAGACTTGAGTCAATGCAACAGAGGTCGAAGAGGGTGTCTGTCGCGGGATAGGTTTGTGAAGTGACTTATAGTTTTCCAATCACGACCTCCCTGGACAAAGAAGTGCCACAGAGGCAAGCAAAACATAGCAGAGTCTATTCTCAGCCAAAATGCCAAACCAGTGAGTCAGCCAGCTGGTCAGCAGAGGACAACTGCAATGCCTGACCTTCACTGTTACGCTATTTACAACTGTATAATCAGGATGCGTGGATCCACAGTCAGATCTGTACTTACTTATTACGCGTGTCAGGTGTTCTGTATTTTTTTATTTGATGCTATCTTAGGTCCCCGGCGTTGCCCGAGTTATTGGAAAACGTAATAGTTTTTTTTTATTTCATAGAATCATAGAATCAAAGCGTTGGAAGAGACCTCATGGGCCATCCAGTCCAACCCCCTGCCAAGAAGCAGGAATATTGCATTCAAATCACCCCTGACAGATGGCCATCCAGCCTCTGTTTAAAAGCTTCCAAAGAAGGAGCCTCCACCACACTCCGGGGCAGAGAGTTCCACTGCTGAACGGCTCTCACAGTCCGGAAGTTCTTCCTCATGTTCAGATGGAATCTCCTTTCTTGTAGTTTGAAGCCATTGTTCCCCGTCTTAATCTCCATGGAAGCAGTAAATAAGCTTGCTCCCTCCTCCCTGTGGCTTCCTCTCACATATTTATACATGGCTATCATATGTCCTCTCAGCCTTCTCTTCTTCAGGCTAAACATGCCCTGCTCCTTAAGCCGCTCCTCATAGGGCTTGTTCTCCAGACCCTTGATCATTTTAGTCGCCCTCCTCTGGACACATTCCATCTGGACACATTCCATCTCTCTTGAATTGTAGTGCCCAGAATTGGACACAGTATTCCAGATGTGGTCTAACCAAAGCAGAATAGAGGGGCAGCATTACATCCCTAGATCTAGACACTGTGCTCCTATTGATGCAGGCCAAAATCCCATTGGCTTTTTTTGCCGCCGCATCACATTGTTGGCTCATGTTTAACTTGTTGTCCACGAGGACTCCAAGATCTTTTTCACACGTACTGCTCTCGAGCCAGGCATTGTCCCCCATTCTGTATCTTTGCATTTCTTTTTTTCTGCCTAAGTGGAGTATCTTGCATTTGTCACTGTTGAACTTCATTTTGTTAGTTTTGGCCCATCTCTCTAATCTGTTCAGATCGTTTTGAATCCTGCTCCTGTCCTCTGGAGTATTGGCTATCCCTCCCAATTTGGTGTCGTCTGCAAACTTGATGATCATGCCTTCTAACCCTTCATCTAAGTCATTAATAAAGATGTTGAACAGGACCGGGCCCAGGACGGAACCCTGCGGCACTCCGCTCGTCACTTCTTTCCAAGATGAAGAGGAAGCATTGGTGAGCACCCTCTGGGTTCGTCCATTTAACCAATTACAGATCCACCTCACCGTAGTTTTGCCTAGCCCACATTGGACTAGTTTGTTTGCCAGAAGGTCATGGGGGACCTTGTCGAAGGCCTTACTGAAATCCAGGTACACTACATCCACGGCATTCCCCGCATCTACCCAGCTTGTAACTCTATCGAAAAAAGAGATCAGATTAGTCTGGCATGACTTGTTTTTGATAAATCCATGTTGACTATTAGCGATGACCGCATTTGTTTCTAAGTGTTTGCAGACCACTTCCTTAACAATCTTTTCCAGAATCTTGCCTGTTATCGACATGCGGCTGACCAGACGGTAATTGTTTGGGTCATCCTTTTTTCCCTTCTTGAAGATTGGGACCACATTGGTCCTCCTCCAATCTGCTGGAACTTCTCCCGTTCTCCAAGAACTCTCAAAGATGATTGCCAATGGTTCAGAAATGACTTCCGCTAGTTCCTTCAATACTCTTGGGTGTAGTTGATCTGGCCCTGGGACTTGAACTCATTTAGAGCGGCCAGGTATTCCTGGATGACTTGTTTCCCAATTTGGGGTTGGATGTCCTCTAATCCCTCATCCACTCCATCTTGCTGAGGTTGAAGATGGCTTTCTTTTTGTGAGAAGACCGAGGCAAAGAAGGCATTAAGTAGTTCTGCCTTTTCCCTACCCCCTGTCAGCATTGCCCCATCTTCTCCTCGAAGAGGCCCTATCGCCTCCTTGTTTTTCCTTTTTCTACTGACATAAGAAAAGAAGCCCTTTTTATTGTTTTTAATGTCCCTGGCGAGCCTGAGCTCGTTTTGTGCTTTAGCCTTGCGGACCTTTTCCCTACAGGTGTTGGCTATTTGTTTGAATTCTTCTTTGGTGATTTCTCCCTTTTTCCACTTCTTGTGCATGTCTCTTTTGTGTTTTAGCACAGTTAGACATCCGTTCTGACTTCTTTGCACTTGTCCTATTTTTTCTCTTTGTTGGCACAGTTTGCAATTGCGCTTTGAGTATTTCACTCTTGAGTAATTCCCATCCATCTGTAACTCCTTTGTCTTTTAGTATCTGTGTCCATGGAATGCTGCTCAGTGTTTCCTTTATTTTTCGGAAATCAGCTCTCCTAAAGTTCAAAATGCAGGTTTGACTTGTCTTACTTTCGGCCTTCCTTTGTACCTCAAATTGCAGGAGCACATGGTCACTTGCCCCTAAGGATCCTACCACTTCAACGGCATCAATCAGGTCCTCCGCATTTGTTAGGATGAGATCAAGAGTAGCAAATCCCCTTGTTGCCTCTTCTAACTTCCGAACCATGAAATTGTCTGCAAGGCAAACGAGGAATTTGTTGGACCTTGTACTCTTGGCCAAGTTTGTTTTCCAGCAAATATAGTTGAAATCACCCATGACTACTACATCTCTTCTCTGTGCCTGTTTTGTCAACTGTTAGCAGAAGACTTCATAAAGTTCTTCCTCCTGGCTTGGAGGTCTGTAGTAGACGCCGACAATGACATCTTTTTGAGTCCCAGTTCCCCTGATTCTTATCCAGATGCTTTCAAGCTGGTTTCCCAGATTGCTCTCTTGCATCTCTTCTGCAGCATAACAGTTTTTGACATATAAGGCTATTCCGCTTCCTCTCCCCTTTGTTCGGTTTCTGTGAAAGAGGTTATAGCCCTCGATGTCTACATTCCAGCGATAGGAGTCATCCCACCAGGTTTCAGTGATGCCTATGATATCATATTCGTGGTGTTGTGCTAAAAGTTGGAGTTCGTCTTGTTTATTTCCCATGCTCTGTGCATTAGTGTAAAAACATGTGAGCCACTGAGATCTTCCCCTGAGCTGTTTAATTGGGATTATTGTGCTTTTGGTACTTGGTCCTCGTTGTGTTTGTGCAGCCCTCCGTTTAGCCTTCTGGCAGTTGCCTGACATTGTGGGCAAAGTAGTGTTCGCAAGGCTGTTGTCCCCCTCCCCCGGTGGACCTCGTTCAAAGTGCGCCTAATGAGGTTTGCAAGTCTGAGCAAAAAGGTGTTTTCCTACTTGTGTGAGATGCACCCCATCCCTTGCCAGTAGGCCATCCTCCTGGAAAAGCAGACCATGGTCGAAACCAAAGCATTCCTCCTGACACCATTTTCTAAGCCAGTTATTGACCTGTACTATTTTTCTGGCCCTTGTAGGACCGTGTCTTACAACTGGGAGGAGGAATGAAAAGACCACCTGTACATTACATTGTTTTAGCTTTGTTCTGAGAGCTCGAAAATAATTTATGATCTTTTGAAAAGTATGCCTAGCAGTATCATTGGTTCCTACATGAATCAACATGAGGGCAGGACTGTGATGGGGCTTGAGGAGCCTGGTGAGCCTCTGAGTGATATGGTGTATTTTTGCCCCCAGTAGTCAGCATATTTCTCAAGCCATCCCATCTGGTCTGGAAATGACGGCTTCCGTTCCTCTAAGGAGGGAGTCGCCTACTACCAAGACCTGTTTACTTTCAGGATTGACAGGGTCCCTTTTGTGCAATGTAGTGTGTAGGTCCCCAGAAAAGTGATCCTGTTGATGTGAATTGTGTAGGTGTAAAGTGTTGTTCTCCTCAACATCCCCGGTGCATTCGTCAAGGACAATCCATTGAGATTCGTCCAAGAGCCTATCGTTCTCCTGTATGTGTTCCTGTTGCACCTGGTCTATGGCTGGGGATGGTACACCTGCATGATTGTGTAAGTGTGAATGTTGTGAAGTGTTGTCCCAGTCAGGGCTATCCCCTGCACAATGATCAAGGACGAGCCACAAATCAGTATCTAAGCCATTCTGATCTTCCCCAATATGTTGTGTTTCTTGGTCAAGTGATAGTTGTGTGAGAATTTGGAATCTATTGTGTCACTGCAACTGGGCAGAGGTATTCTGAGGAGTCTTCCAGGTCCTATGTTTCTTTCTAAGGGTGACATGCCTCCAAGCTTGAGGGTTGTCCACATCTGAGGTGATCTCCCCTTGAGTCACAGTGGTCTGTGATAGTGGGTGAAGGTACTGCAAATCCCATAATCCGTGGTCCTTACTCCTCTAATCCTCACCAGGATAGAAAGTGCGCCATTGGGAGTCTGTTAGCGAAATTTGGTCCAGATGCATCATTTGTTTGGGTCGTAGTGGTTTCTGGAAGTGAGTGAAGATTCCCATTGTCTCTGGTCCACCCTCCCAAAACTCACCAGTCTGTGTGGCAAGTTTCGTCCATTCAGTCATTTGTGGGGGTCACAGTGGTCTTAGGAAGTGACTGAAGGTACTGCAAATGCCATCATCTGTGGCAAATGTCCAGATCCATCGTTGGTTGGGTTCACAGTGCTCTCTGGATGTATGTGAACTACAACTCCAATAAATCAAGGTCAATCCCCCCCCCCCCCCAATCCTCTTGTTTAGTTTCTGATCAATTCCTGTTTGCTGTGTTCCATAGGAAAGGGTTAAGGGAAAAGCAGTGGGTGAGGTCATGCAAGTTGCACACCAATAGAGAGAAAGGAATCCTGGGCTGTCTATAGTTGAGGAGAAACAGAACATCTAGGATGAAATTTTCCCTAAATGAAAGCCTTCACTTGGATGGTGGGCAGTGAGGTGTTTGGGGAGGACATTGGCAGAGGTTGGGAGACATGTTCATGGCACCTGCTGTAACCTGAAATGTCCTTTTGGTGATTCTCCAGCACTGTGGGTTATAGCTGTTTGTGGAGACCAGAGGCTGTCTGTGCAGTTAGACACCTCTGCCACATACACGCATACACACATTTTCACTTTTATTACATGTATAGAAGATATAGATGTTGTGATTCAATGGTTATATTTTATGCTATGTAATGTTTTTGTTTACATGTTGTTCGCCACTTTCAGTCCCTATCTGGAAGAGAAGCGGGATATAAATAAATATGATCCTCTGAGAGAGATACTCACGACGAGATTCACACAGAAGAGAAGAGAGAGATTGGGCATGTCATCCCCCTTTTTATAATCACCTGCTGACTTGTCATCAGCAAGGGACAAACGACTGATGCAGCCCCTTGTCATAAACCTCACATGATTATGACTCAGCCATTTCTGCCTGCACCTTAGGCATGTCGTCATGGCTTTCTCAGTCATTCTGCAGGAGTGATCACATGTCCATCAAAACTGTATTTTCACATAGATTCAGTGCGGAGGCATTTCCGTCTAAGAGAGGGTCCCCAACACTTTGCTTCCTCCCCGCAGGACCAGTCTCTGAGGAACTGGAGGCTGAAGAAGATGACCAAACGAGAGGCAGGAGGAGAAGGGGAAGAGGCTGCCACCTACAAGTTCAGCCCCCGGTTTGTGCTCCGAGCAGCACAGAGCGTCACGGTGAGCTAAGTTACAAGGAAAGCTCCTCTGAAGTGCTCTGAAATATATATGATATACATAAAAGTAATAATAATTATTTGCACAGCCAAACATGTCAGGTAATTGAGATAAAGCAATCGTCATTCTACCTTTATCTCAACTCTTTGACCTTCACAAGACTCTGCCTTGAAGATACAAAGATAAATGGACTCCATAAATCAGCTTTCAACAAAAGTGGTTCACTCTATTTACAAGAACTTATTTACAGCACAGTCTGTAAACACATCTGTTCTAGTCACAAGACGAAAGAACAGTGCACGTTGGCCTTCTTTTCCAGGTGGTACAGGTAATTGCTGACCTTCTAGGAATGTCTACCCTTCTATTACATTAACTTATTATGTAATAGAAGGGTAGAGGCAGGGAAGGAAGGAACATTTCTGATATATGCCACTCAAAACACCATAAACGCTGACAAAAAACATTTTAGCAGATAACAAAGCTGCAGCCTTTGACCCCTCAACCACACTGTATAGTAATATGTGAAAGACATATTCTTTAAAGCATTGGATAAACTACTACTATTACTACGATATAAGGCCTTGAAGAAAACACCGAGAGATCAGCAGGAAGAGGGAAGGAAGAAATGTCCTTATAGAAATACATTTTAATACTAGCTGTACCCTGCCACGCATTGCTGTGGCCTATAGTAAGAATTTTCAAAGTAGAGGTAGATATCTGGACTATTATGAAAGAGAGGTACCTACCTATTCCTTCCCCTCTTTTTCTTCCCCTTCCCCTTTCTCTCCTTTCTTCCTTCTCTACCTCTTTCTTTCATTCCTTATTTCACTCTTTGGTTTCATCCTTTCCCTCTTTCTCTCTCACACACTCCCTCCTTTCCCCTCTTTCTCTCTCTCTCTCTCTCTCTCACGTTCCCCCTTTCCTCCCTCTCTCTCTCCTTCCCTCCTTCTCTCTTTCTCGCGTTCCCTCTTTCTCTCGTCTCTGCCTGGCCTCACTCCCTCCTTTCTTCTCTCTTCCTTCCTTCTCTCACACACTCCCTCCTTTCCCCTCTTTCTTTCTCTCTCTCACGTTCCCCCTTTCTCTCCTCCCTCTCTCTCTCCTTCCCTCCTTCTCTCTTTCTCGCGTTCCCTCTTTCTCTCGTCTCTGCCTGGCCTCACTCCCTCCTTTCTTCTCTCTTCCTTCCTTCTCTCACACACTCCCTCCTTTCCCCTCTTTCTCTCTCTCTCTCTCTCTCCCTCCTTCCTCCCCCTTCTCTCTTTCACTCCATCCTTCTCTTTCTCTCCCTCCCTCTTTCTCACTCTCTCACACACTCCCTCCTTTCCCCTCTTTCTTTCTCTCTCTCGCGTTCCCCCTTTCTCTCCTCCTTCTCTCTCCTTCCCTCCTTCCCTCCTTCTCTCTTTCTCGCGTTCCCTCTTTCTCTCGTCTCTGCCTGGCCTCACTCCCTCCTTTCTTCTCCTTTCCTTCTCTCACACACTCCCTCCTTTCCCCTCTTTCTCTCTCTCTCTCTCGCGTTCCCCCTTTCTCTCCTCCATCTCTCCTTCCCTCCTTCTCTCTTTCTCGCGTTCCCTCTTTCTCTCGTCTCTGTCTGGCCTCACTCCCTCCTTACTTCTCTCTTCCTTCCTTCTCTCGCTCTCTTTCCCTCTTTCCTTGGAGGGGGCGTGGGCGGGGGAAGAAGAAGGAGAGGGAGGAGGGATGGATTTTGACAGGGCGGGAAGGGGCAGGGCGGGGTTTGGAGGGGGCGTGGGCGGGGGAAGAAGAAGGAGGGGGAGGAGGTAAGTTTGGCGAACGTAATCGTGTGGGGTGGGGCAGGGGAGGGAGGGGGCATGGTGTGGCGTGATCGTGTGGGGCGGGGCGGGGTAGGGAGGGGGTGTGGTGTGTTGTGATCGTGCGGTGCGGGGCGGTGGAGGGTTGGGTGCGGAGGGTGCGTTGGCCGTTCGGCCATGTGCGCGCGCTGGGGACATGCGGCGGGGCGCCATTGTGCATGCTCAGTTGTTTTGTCTACTTGTGAGTGTGTTTTAATGTTGTTTAATATTTTGAATCGATTTGTGCATACCTTGTGGGTTGAGGTATGTGCATGGGAATTTTGGTAAATTTTCGTCAGGGTTTTTTTTAGTTTTGCTGTCCCGTTGGACGCCCTTTTCATTTTTATATATATGGATGTATATTTCATAGAAATGCATTGTAATATGTGCATTTGTGGTATTCATTATTCTGTAACCCGCCTCAAGCCAACAGGAGAGATGGGGAAGAAATGAAACTATTGTTGTTGTTATTGAGAAAGAATGCAAGCCGGCCCAAACCAGACAAAGAACAAAGGGCCTGCTTGCATTATAAATATCATAATTATAAACATCATAAACACCAGGATAATAACAATGATGGAGCGCACCTTCTTCCCCTACCGTTCCCCAGGTCTGGTCCTGTGACGCCGGCGTGACCCACTGTCCACCCTCAGCCCTGGTCTGGAGGGGCCGCAGCTGCCCGTGGGGCCCGGGGGAGAAGGCCCGGCTGGTGCTGCTGGACGCCCAGGGAGAGGTAGGGAGGGGGCCCAGTACCCTGTTCTTCCTTTTGATCCCAAAGGGGGCCCATTGAGCCCTGCTGTGAATATGAGGAGCGGGAAATGGCAGGCTGAGAGCCTTCCTTGGCCAGCAAGGGAGGGAGGCAGGAAGGAAGGAAAAGAAGAAGATGGGAAGGAAAGAAGGAAGGAGAGAAATGAGGGAGGGAGGGAGGAAGAAGAGAGAAATGGAGGGAGGGAGGCAGGAGGGAGGGAGGATATGAGACACACACACACACACACACACATATATATATATCAACCATATCTATCCCTTTTGAAAACACACATTACACACACACACACCATATCTATACTGCCTTTGACTATATCTATCTCTGTATTCTATCATCTATCAAAATCCTATAAATATCCTATCTATGACTGGATGGCCATCTGTGCGGGATGCTTGGATGGTGCTTTCCTGCCTAAAAGGAGGATAGCAGCCTCCCTTCCCCCTCAAGGGTTCTATGATCCTGTAGGTGGGCACCTGTCGGGAGGGATCGGGTAGTGCCTTCCTCCCTGGGTCGGGCTGGATGGCCTTTGGGGGCCCTCTTGACTTCCTGCACTCTGCTCTCTTTCCTCTCAGGAAGTTGCCACGAGAAGCCTGTCTCCGGAAGAGGAAGAAGTGGAGATTCAAACCTTTGGTGAAGAAGACCTCTTCCACCAACAGGTAGGCCTGCCTGCCTGTCTGCCTTCCCTCCCTCCTTCCTTCCCTCCCTCCCTCCCTCCCTCCCTCCCTCCTTCCTTCCTTCCTTCCTTCCTTCCTCTTTCCTTTCATTTATTTATTTATTTACTATGTTTATATCCTGCCTTTCTCGACCCTGAAGGGGACTCAAGACGGATTACAGCATAGGCAATAATTTAATGCCTTAAAAACAATATACAATTAAATAAACATTTCAATTAAAAAATTAAATGAGATTAAGAGCATTAAAACATATAAAACATTGCAATTACAACTATAAAACCACATTATCCGCAATCATAGTTGGATCATTCCAGTAATCATTCCTTCCTTTCTTTCAAAGAGCGATTCTGCTTTCACTTCTGCTTACTTTCACCCTTTGCCTTCAGGGGGACCCCCAGACTACCTCCAAAGGATGTGCCGTCATGTGATGAGAAGGAAAGAAGAAGGAGAAAGGAGGCACCTCCCCAACCTTCCGTTGTTCTTTGTGGCTGCCACAAACTAGGTTAGGATGAATTGAGACTCAGTAATGGGATATTCCTTGGAAAACTAGAGCAAATTTGTTCCATGTCGCAGGAGGATGTTCCTCCCTCCCGCAGAAAGAAGCAATCCTTTTGTAGATTAGTCGTATTTCCCCATTTTTTTACTGATAGAAACAATTAGGAAATAATGCTGTTGGTCACCCAATGTCTTTGGGGTTTGTTTTGTTTCTGACTGGAACCTTGTTTTGTACAACACTCAGAAAAAATAAAAGGATTTGAATTTCTCCTTGGCCTCCTGTGCCTTCCTTCCTTCCCACGTGTCTATCATTTCCCCATTGGAATTATAGTTGTTATTATGGTATATTTTGACATTATTAAAGCTGCTCTGAGTCTGTATAAATGTATCTGATTATTATCTATATATATCTATATCTATATCAATCTATCTATCTATCTATACATATAATAAAAGTCAAAGTTTATATGCGGAGGACAAAGGTGTGGCGGAAGGAGTATGTGCCAGCGTTCTGATTGGCTGCCGCTGTGGTGCTATTTGCATATGGTCTCTGATTGGCCAGCTTCAATAGGAGCCCCTGGTGGAGAAGAGGGTTCATGACAGAAACGGGGACATGAGAAGGAAATTTGCATATGGTCTCTGATTGGCCAGCCTCAATTCCAAGATTCCGAGATGACAAAGAGAGGAAAGGAAAAGGTCAGGAGCTGGGTCAGAAAATTACCAATACAGACCAAACTTGGCACACAGAGCCCCCATGACCCACTCTACATCCTACTGCAGTTTGGAGGAGGATGAACCATGGATGATGGGACTTGCAGTACCATCACTCACATTCTGAGACCGCTGTTAACCTCATCCAATGACTGATCAGGACAGTCATGCCAGACTAATCTGATCTCTTTTTTCGATAGAGTTACAAGCTGGATAGATGCAGGGAATGCCGTGGATGTGGCATACCTGGATTTCAGTAAGGCCTTCGACAAGGTCCCCCATGACCTTCTGGCAAACAAACTAGTCCAATGTGGGCTAGGCAAAACTACGGTGAGGTGGATCTGTAATTGGTTAAATGGACGAACCCAGAGGGTGCTCACCAATGCTTCCTCTTCATCCTGGAAAGAAGTGACGGAGTGCCGCAGGGTTCCGTCCTGGGCCCGGTCCTGTTCAACATCTTTATTAATGACTTAGATGAAGGGCTAGAAGGCTTGATCATCAAGTTTGCAGACGACACCAAATTGGGAGGGATAGCCAATACTCCAGAGGACAGGAGCAGGATTCAAAACGATCTTGACAGATTAGAGAGATGGGCCAAAACTAACAAAATGAAGTTCAACAGTGACAAATGCAAGATACTCCACTTTGGCAGGAAAAACGAAATGCAAAGATACAGAATGGGGGACGCCTGGCTCGAGAGCAGTACGTGTGAAAAAGATCTTGGAGTCCTCGTGGACAACAAGTTAAACATGAGCCCACAATGTGATGTGGCGGCAAAAAAAGCCAATGGGATTTTGGCCTGCATCAATAGGAGCATAGTGTCTAGATCTAAGGAAGTAATGCTACCCCTCTATTCTGCTTTGGTTAGACCACATCTGGAATATTGTGTCCAATTCTGGGCACCACAATTGAAGAGAGATATTGACAAGCTGAAATGTGTCCAGAGGAGGGCGACTAAAATGATCAAGGGTCTGGAGAACAAGCCCTATGAGGAGCGGCTTAAGGAGCTGGGCATGTTTAGCCTGAAGAAGAGAAGGCTGAGAGGAGATATGATAGCCATGTATAAATGTATGTGAGAGGAAGCCACAGGGAGGAGGGAGCAAGCTTGTTTTCTGCTTCCATGGAGACTAGGACGCGGAACAATGGCTTCAAACTACAGGAAAGGAGATTCCATCTGAACATGAGGAAGAACTTCCTGACTGTGAGAGCCGTTCAGCAGTGGAACTCTCTGCCCCGGAGTGTGGTGGAGGCTCCTTCTTTGGAAGCTTTTAAACAGAGGCTGGATGGCCATCTGTCAGGGGTGATTTGAATGCAATATTCCTGCTTCTTGGCAGGGGCTTGGACTGGATGGCCCATGAGGTCTCTTCCAACTCTTTGATTCTATGATTCTAAAGTTGGCACATAGACCTCTCATGACCCACTTTTCTTGAGACCACTGCAACCCTCATCCAATTACCGATAAAGACCAAACTTGGCACACTGAGTCTCCATGACGCATTCTACATCCTGGTGCGGTTTGGAGGAGGATGCACCATCGTTGGGACTTGCAATACCTGACCTCCCTTCCTAAGACCATTACAACTGCCAACAATGATGGATCAGGACCACAATTTACACAGAGATCCCGCATGACCCACTCTACATCCTGGTGCGGTTTGGAAGAATTTGACAATGGATGATGGGATTTGCACTTCACTCACTTCCTGAGACCACGGAGACCCTCGCCAATGACTGATCAAGACCAAACTTGGCACACAGAGTCCCCATGACCCACTCTACATCCTGGTGCACTTTCGAGGAGGACAGACCATGGATGATGGGACTTCAACTACCTCCACTCCCTTCCCAAGACTGCTGCAACCCTCATCTAATGTCAGATCAAGACCAAACTTGGCACACAGAGCCCCCATGACCCACTCTACATACTACTACAGTTTGGAAGAGGATGGATCATGGATGATGGGACTTGCAGTACCTAAACTTATTTTGTGAAACCACTGCGACCCTGAACCAATGACTGATCAAGATCAAACTTGGCACACAGAGCCCCCATGACCCTATCTGCATCCTGTTTGAGTTTGGAGGAGGATGAACCATGGATGATGGGACTTGCAGTACCATCACTCACATTCTGAGACCACTGTTAACCTCATCCAATGACTGATCAGGACCAAACTTAGCACACAGAGCCCCCATGACTCACTCTACATCCTGCTGCAGTTTGAAGGAGGATGGATTTTGGATGATGGGACTTGCAGTACCTTCACTCACTTACTGAAACCACTGCCACCCTCATCCAATGACTGATAAAGACCAAACCTGGCACACAGTGCCCCCATGACCCACTCTATATCCTGCTGCTGTTTGGAGGAGGGTGGACCATGGATGATGCGACACTTATCCAAATACCAAGAAAGACCAAACTTGGCACAGAGCCCCCTTGGCCAACTCAACATTCTGGTGAGGTTTGGGGGAGAACAGACTATGGATGATGGGACTTGCCGTACCTAAACTCACTTTCTGAGACCACTGTGACCCTCATCCAATGACTGATGAAGAACAAAACTTGGCACACAGAGCCCCCACGAGCCACTCTCCATTCTGGTGCAATTTGGAGGAGGATGGACCACAGATGATGGGATTTGCAGTACCTTCACTAACTTCCCGAGACCACTGCGAGCCATATAAATAACTGATAAAGACCAACCTTGATACACAATTCCTTTCTCTAATAACCCGGGCAGTGCCGGGTCCCCAAGCTAGTCTATACATATAATAAAAGTCAAAGTTTGTATGCGGAGGACAAAAGTGTGGCGGGAGGAGTATGTGCAAGCGTTCTGATTGGCTGCCGCTGTGGTGCTATTTGCATATGGTCTCTGATTGGCCAGCTTCAATAGGAGCCCCTGGTAGAGAAGAGGGTTCGTGACAGAAATGGGGAAATGAGAAGGAAATTTGCATATGGTCTCTGATTGGCCAGCCTCAATTCCAAGATTCCAAGATGACAAAGAGAGGAAAGGAAAAGGCCAGGGGCTGTGTCAGAAAATTACCAATACAGACCAAACTTGGCACACAGAGCCTGCAAGACCTACTCGACATCCTACTGCAATTTGGAGGAGGATGAACTATGGATCATGGGACTTGCAGTACCATCACTCTCATTCTGAGACTGCTGTTAACCTCATCCAATGACTGATCAGGACCAAACTTGGCACATAGACCTCTCATGACCCACTTTATGTCCTGGTGTGGTTTGGTCGGGAATGGACCATGGATTATGGGACTTGCAGTACCTTTGCTCAATTCTTGAGACCACTGCAACCCTCATCCAATTACCAATAATGACCAAACTTGGCACTCTGAGTCTCCATGCCGCGCTCTACATCCTGGTGTGGTTTGGAGGAGGATGCACCATGGACGATGGGACTTGCAATACCTGCACTCCCTTCCTAAGACCATTACAACTGCCAACAATGATGGATCAGGACTACAATTCACAAAGAGAGCCCGCATGACCCACTCTATATCCTGGTGCGGTTTGGAAGAATTTGACAATAGTTGATGAGACTTGCAGTCATTTCACTCACTTCCTGAGACCACTGAGAACTTCGCCAGTGACTGATCAAGACCAAACTTGGCACACAGAGTCCCCATGACCCACTCTACGTCCTGGTGCACTTTCAAGGAGGACAGACCATGGATGATAGGACTTCAAGTACCTCCACTCCCTTCCCAAGACTGCTGCAACCCTCATCTAATGTCCGATCAAAACCAAACTTGGCACACAGAGCCCCCATGACCCAGTCTACATCCTACTGCAGTTTGGAGTAGGGCATACCATGGATGATGGGACTTGAAGTACCTCTACTTGCTTTCCGAGACTGCTGCGACCCTCAACAATGACTGAACAACACCAAACTTGGGACATAGACCTCTCATGACTCACTTTACACCCTGGTGGGGTTTGACTGTGGATCGAGCATGGATTATAGGACTTGCAGTGCCTTTGCTCAATTCCTGAGACCACTGCAACCATCAACCAATTTCCGATAAGGACCAAACTTAGCACACTGGGTCTCTATGATGCACTTTACATCCTGGTGTGGTTTGGAGGATGATGCACCATGGATGATGGGACTTGCAGTACCTTCACTCACTTAGTGATACAACTGAGACCCTCATCCAATGACTGATGAAGACCAAACCTGGCACACAGAGCCCCCATGTCCAACTCAACATTCTGGTGAGGTTTGGGGGAGAACAGACTATGGATGATCGGACTTCACGTACCTCCACTCACTTCCCAAGACTGCTACAACCCTCATCTAATGTCCGATCAAGACCAAACTTGGCACACAGAGCCCCCATGACCCACTCTACATCCCGATGCTGTTTGGAGGAGGACTGATGATGGATGATGGGACTTCCAGTACCTTCACTCCCTGAAACCACAGCGACACTTATCCAAATACCAAGAAAGACCAAACTTGGCACAGGCAGCCCCCTTGGACAACTCAACATTCTGGTGAGGTGTGGGGGAGAACAGACTATGGATAATGG